AATGGATAAAAATGCCTTTTATTGGTTTCATTGTTTCTTCTCCCAGTTACTTTCAGTGTCTTGTTGTTTCGATTTTCTAATACAGGTTAAAAAATTGGTAATAATTATCTATAAAATATAGCTCAAGGGAGAATGAGTACATTTAATTTGTATATGTGCAAACCAACTAAAGAGGAAAATGCTAAAACTGAAACTTAATTATCATTGGAAATGACCCTGCTCTATCAAATATGGCAAATACTATTGGGCTTGAATTTTTCAGTAGACACCGACAAAATGAATCACATTGGAGCACATGTGTGGAATGTGAGTGGTACAAAATAAAGGGTCATGCAAACCAACATTTTCAGTGTGGATTTTGTGGTGATTCTCTTCTGACACTCTCCCCTTGTATTTCCCCTTCCCTCTGATTCTCTGCTATCCTCCTAGAGATTTCCTTCCTTTATGCACTTTCTGTATTTCTGTGATTGGACGTTTATATATTTCTGGATATTTCCTGTTGCTTTCATCATATATATAAAAATAATATTCAGATTTTAGTGCAAATTTACTGTGTTGATTGTTATTTGTTTTGAGATCAGAATAGATACAAATGTATCTCTTGAAGGTAAGGAAATGAAAATATATTTTCATCTAAATTTCCTTGTAATCCAGCTTTACTAAGCTTAAGAGAGACCAATGAAGAGGAAAGATTCTTTAGTAGATGACTTAAGGGTATCGATGACATATCCACACCTCCCAGCCAAAGATCCTTTATATGAGTGACATTTCTTTTGAGTCTTTCCCAAGTCTTTTCTTTAAGAATGAGATGATTCGAATACTCAGCGAGATAAAGTGAAACCAATTTCTGAAGATGAGAAATCTGAGATGGAACTTCACCACTAAAATTACAGTAATGCAAGGAGAGGTGTGTTAAACTTACAGGTTGGGAAAAATTAGATGGTATTTGAGACCCCTGAAAGTCATGGAAACCAAGGTCAAGTCTTTGATGATGGGTAAGCTGGAAGAGAGAACTGTTGGGAAGGAATTTACCATGAAGTCCCTTACAATAAAGATCAAGGCCAATGACGTGACCCAATGGATTGCATGTGACCCCATCCCATAAGCAGCAATTCGTACCATTTTTCCAAGTTGATCTCTTAAAGTATGAAATGATTTCATAAGAATCACAAAGCACAGAAGCTAAAGAAGAAGGATGGGTTTTTGAATGGAAAATGAGTTTTGGAAGTCTAGCAAGCCTAAGCATTGGTCAGGACGATATGTTGGGAAAGCAAAGGAATAAGAAAGAGAGAGAAAGAGAAATAGTTGGAGGTAGAGAAGGGAACACAACGATAGACTCGTCATTTGTGACTTCTAAATCCTCTTTGCTTGCTGCAACAAGTGAAGAGAAATAACTCTATTTATAAATGAATGGAAAATCTGGGCGACAAGAAAAAACTAAAAGGAAAATCTTACATCTGTGCCTGTTTGTGCAAACAATGTATAAAAAATACCTCTTATTGGTTTGATTGTTTCTTCTTCTAATTTCTTTCGGTGTCTTGTTGTTTTGATTTTCTAATACAGATTAAAAATTGGGAATAATTATCTACAAGATACAACTCAAGGGAGAATGAGTACATTTGTATCGGTGCAAGCCAACTGAAGAGGAGAATGCTAAAACTGAAACTTAATTATCATTAAATTTTATGGCATAAAAATTATATACTCGACCTAAATAAATTACTAAACCATAGGGGCCAATCAACACGAATTTTCCCCTATCCTTCTAACCTCTAATTTCCAAGAAGTTCCCATTATTACGAAATAATATTTTTCCACGCACCAGGACCACAGCGTTAGAAAGCAGAATGTGAACCAAACATTAATGTACGGTTCACGAGTCTATTCACATACTTAGACTTGCAAAGTCATTATACCAAAAGAAAAAAAAAGACTTGCTTTCTCTTTTCCTTATCCTTTCACTGTCAAGTAGTTGTTTTCAAAGTTTCCAATATTCCCATACGCGTAGTTTGCCAACAATTATTAAGCATGCCATGTACATGCGAAATATTTTTTTTTCTCTGTAACCTAATATTACAAATTTGAGTATTTCAAATCATATCAATGTACAAGCATTGATTACATTTTAATATGTATTAACAACTTTGAAATGGAAATTAACAAGTTGCAATTTCAACCTAGATAATAATTATTATGCGTTTCTTAGTCGAAATATATGTACGGGCTCTAAATTCTTTTGTGTCATCTTTATACTAACACCAGATGATACGATTTTATTATCAAAATATGATTTTTTTTGTGCTAAAAATCCTGCCCTTAAGTAATTTTTTTACCCGCATATGCCAATTAAAGTGCTTAATAAATATCACACATAGATTAAAACTAATTGGAATGGCGCATAATGATCTTTCCGTGGGATCAAACACTTATGATCATTGCCTTGCATATAAATCATTTTAATGTGTTGTTTGAAGTTAACTGAAATTTATAAAAGTAAAGTATAATGTAAACAAAGACTGAGGTTGAACTAAAAAAAATACATAATAAAAGACATAATAATTATTATTTAAGCTAAAATTGTGATCTGTTAATTTTTATTCCAAATTTGTTAATAAAATATTCCTAGCATAATGGTCATAATTTTTGGCTGAAACCATCAACGGGGTGGGATCAAATTGCACCACCTTTTTTTTCTTAAAAAAAAAAATCCCTCTCAATGAGAAAAAATCCCATCGGAAGTCACCTCACCGATGGCTCCCGCACCAGCGGGTTTCCGACAAGAGGTTAGTTTTTTTTTTTTTTTAATTTTTTAATAAAGAACTTTTTTGTAATTTTATCTTAATATCAAATGACAACTTATATCTCCCTTCTATTTGGGGATTATGAAGTACTATCTTTCAAATTTGGCTCTCATATTTTCCCCTTCTGTTTGGTTTTTTTGGGGAACAAATTGAAGACAGAAAGCTTGTGGCACCACGACATCAATCGCGTTACTGGATGGGGTCCAAAGAAAGACCTGTTTCTGTCCATCCGAGTCAGAATGCCCCTTTTATGGGGCAAGTATGTTTGTAAAATACTCAACAAAGACTTTGACTGTCGTGCTCCTTTTCTCTCTTTTTTTTTTTATATCTAAAGATATTTTGTACAAGAATTATATCTAAAGTTATTATTCCTTCGCTCATTATTATGAACACTTAATAATTAATAACTTTACATAAATAAATAAAATTAATTAGAATTAATTATTTATTATAAAATATAAAAATTATCATCAATACAAGTCATTAATTAAAGAAATTTGGTTTTTTAGTTGGAAAGTAATTAGTAGTTTAGTCGGGAAGTTGATTCTTGGAAAGATTCAAGACCCGAGAAAATTGATATTAGTCAACTGTTCAGGAATTTTCATAGTAGAGTTGTTTTGATGATGAATCCAACTATTCCAAATTCATCAAATTTTTGATTGAGCTAGGAATTGTAACCGGTGAGCCCGTTGTGTGAAAGATTGAGCCATTTCACAACGCATGAAACTCTCTAATAACTTGAGCAATCTCTCACTCAAACATTTTTATTGCATAAACCAACACTTATGAAACAGTTAAGATCCTTTCTAGTTAAGTGTCTAATTCTCAAACATTTTATTGCATAAACCAACACTTATGAAAACAGTTAAGATCCTTTCTAGTTAAGTGTCTAATTCTTTGTGTGCTATTTTTTTCTAACCTTTTTCTATGCTACTGAGTTTTATCCTTGTGCTTTTAGTATAGTAATATGTATGCGAATAGGAACAATTTGAAAAGAGAAGAATATGGAATATGTGGAGAAAATGGAAAGCAAAATAGCTATTATCCAAAAGGAGTTTGCAGAGGAGAAAAAGTTTTCATGGGAAGAAAGGGAAAGGTTACACAAGGCAAACTGATCCAACTCCAAAAAAATATATTTTCTTTGTTTCTAATGGTCTAATAATCTTCGTATCTCATAAGAGCCCCAAGAATATTTGAATGTTAATTCACTGTATTTTGACAATTCTAACGTGAGCATGTATGGACGAGCCTTTTTTTTTCCTCCTACCGCAGCATAGATATAAATATGATTTATTTTTTATAAACTTACGACATTCAATATTATCCTTAAAAAATTAAAGCATATGGCTGAGTTTCAACTAATTATTCCGTAATATTATTCAGTTTTTTGTATTGCCAAGAGAACTACCAATTCATTTAACAAATCAACATATAAAAGCGCCTAACCTTGTGCTATTTAAAAGATTACATGCTCATCCCCACGCATCGCATGGGGTCTGTATTAGTATTGTTAAAAGCAAAATCCAATCGGACGCGTTGTGAGAGGGGAGTTATGTGAACATTGTTGTGTGCGCTTTTTCTCGGAAAAGTCATGGTGAATTATTTTGATGCTCATCAGGGTTAGTCTCCATAGCTCACTATGTTATGAATTTCATTATTTTTTTTTTGTAATAAAATCTGGGCGAGTTGTTAAGGACTTGGATCCCTTCAATTGATATGGTCTCAATTGATTTTTTTTTTCTCCTTTGAATATAAAACTGAGTAACATTAAAATAAAAAGCAGAGTACAACAAGAAATGACCTACCCTCCTTCGTTAACCTGTTGAAACAGAGGCGCGAGGTGATTTAGGATAGAAGATTCCATTCTTAGCAATTAAGGGATCTTATCAAATAATTAGATGCGATGTGTTGAGGTGGCAGCTACAAATTTGTTCAAAAAATAAACAAAGGAATTTATCTCAGCACCTGTCACAATCAAGGACCGAGAACAGTGGATCGCAGAATGCCAGAAAGTGATCAAGACTTTCGGGGAGCTGCGATAGTTCAAAAGTCAAAAGGAGGGGAAAACCGGGGGAAAGTGAGGGCTGTGGAATAAATAAAAGCTTAAACGCGTGGAATTCCTGGCGTCTATAAGTAGCCCTCCGCACCCCGAAGCTGAACACTACACTAGCCATACCTCCATACAAAACTCAGGCCCTTATGGATAATCTCCCCGAAGCTTGCATCGCCCACATCCTTTCCTTCACATCCCCCCCTGAGGCCTGTAGGCTTTCCTGTATTTCTTCCTCCTTCCTTTCCGCCGCCGTCTCCGACGCCCTCTGGAATTCCTTCATCCCTCCCGATTGCCTCTCCTTCCTTTCTCCTCCCCCCTCCTTTCCTTCCAAGAAGGATCTCTTTCTCTCTCTCTCCCAGCAACCCCGCCTCATCGACAACGGTCTTAAGGTATTTCTTCCCCTTCTATCTCCTCGGTATCTCAATCTTATTTCATTTTTAACTCTTCCAGTCTTACTGCCTTAATCTCATGCCTCTTTATATATATGCACAGAGCTTTTGGCTGGATAAATTTAGTGGGGCAAAATGTTTCATGCTGTCCTCGAGAAGTCTCTATATTGTCTGGGGTGACACTCCCGTGTATTGGACGTGGCTTTCGGTGCCGGAAAGCAGGTTTACGGAGGTTGCTGAACTTCGTGACGTGTGTTGGCTGGAACTTGGAGGGTACATCAACACGCGCTTGCTGTCTCCTTCAACTCTGTATGCCGCTTACCTTGTGTTTAAATTAACGGCTCACACCAAGGGGCTCAAAAACAAGCCGGCGGAGGTCTCCATTGGGATTGCCGGGAATAAAAGCAAGCGATTCGTCTATTTGGTTCCGAGAGAAGCACAAAGCCGTGCCATTCCACTAGAGAATCTTAATCAACAGTATCCAAACAAGAGAGCAGATGGATGGTTGGAGATCGAATTGGGGGACTTCTTCAACGAAGGAATAGATGACCAGGAGCTAGAAATGACCGTTTTTAAACTCACTGGAAAGTGGAAGAGGGGCCTTGTCATTGAAGGATTAGAAATTAGGCCCAAACGCACTTAGTGAATGGTGAACCTACGCTGCGAGTTTCTGATAGATCTTATTTATCTCCATATCAGGTCAGTGAAGTTATGTAAAATTAAGAGCTTCACTTCCTTCTCTATCGAATCTTTGTAATAGTGTGTGTTAATCGAGTTGGACAATACTATGGCCTTCTTATTGCAAAATGAAACAAAAAAAAAAAAGTACAAAGGCCAAGGCACTAATCAGTAATCACAGCAAAGAAAGAAAAAAGCACTAATCAGTAGTCAGTAATCACTGATTTGTATATGTGTGTATTCTTTATTATATTTTGAGGTTTTGAAAGGCAATGGCATTAAGGTCAAGCCTTTGAAGCCAACTGCAATTGACGTTGAGGCCAATTATGGATTGCAAGTACTACCATTTTTTGGGGTATTATATATTACCTCTTGTCCTAATTATAAGACCCAATTAACTTATTTGAGGAGATTAAAGAAGTAAGTTAAGTTAGTTATTTGTAATAAATAAGTGTTGTCATTCCTAAAATATCCTTGCTAATTAAGTGTATTGGCTAGAACTATCATTATTAGAAGGACTATCTTGAAAAAAAATGCATAAATATGTGAGACAAAATGGATTGGAGTCTTATAATTAGGACCAAACAAAAAGTCAAATGAAGTCTTATATTAAGGACCGGAGGTAATATTGTTTTGTTGTCACGCCTTGAAAATTGAAGAGTGACCGGCATAGAATATAAGAACTCATATTTCTAAAGCCTTTAAGATATACAAACAAATGCTTAATAATTACAAAAATCTTAAGGGTTCATCCATTATTTCTAGTTCATATATAAATTTATTTCTTATTATCCCAACAGTAAGTTTTTTTTTTTTAGAGATTTTGGAAGAGCTTTCCTTGCAAGTCTTTTTTTTTTTGGGAAAATTCTACAACAGTCCAATAGTTGAGTAGCAAAAGAGAGCTTCGTTCCATAACCACAATATACATATACATATATCCCAATGTATCAAAAAGGAACAGGGGTCTTGCCTATAGGCTACATGGAGCACCTAAACTACAAAAATAAATACTTAAATGTAAACTTAGATTTACATTACTAAAAGATGTTTTGAAACGCATTTACAAGTTTTGACTATCAATGAGTGTCTTTGCCGTTCAATTGGAGGTATAGAAGCAATGATGCTGTCTGAAGACAAAATAGTTCCCATTAATAAAAATAAGGTAAAAGAAGTGCTAAAAGAATAAATTATGCAACATAATCATGTAAAATAAATAATTTACCATTGCTTTTAAATTCTTAATAAGCCATGAAAACATAAAATAAAATATATGGAAAGCTTTTGATATGCAAATTAAACCCAACATAAAAAAAAAACTTATTTATAAATTTAAATCACGAAATAGTGTGAAAACTCTTTTTAGTTGAGGATTTCAACAGAACGAATAATAAGTGCGGACACACAGTCCATGAGATGAGTAACTAACGTGCACGGTAGAAGCAATGAATTCAAACGCAAGAACGATACCGATGAATATCAAACAAGATGTTAACCATGATGTACCATCACAAGCGCAGCCAAAACCACGAATACAAACACGACCGGAGCCACGAATGACAAGCACGGCCAAAGCCACGAATTACAAGTGCAGCTAAAGCCACTGATACAAGTGTAAGAACAATTCCCATGAATAACAAGCACGGCTGAAGCCACGAATAACAAGCAAGCTCAATATTAACCATGTTACACCAAGGGCTAACAGTATTGTTGTTAGCAACTAAAGTTCTGTATTCAGTACTTAGAAAAAAAAAGAAAGAAAGAAATTTTCAAGCATGCACAGGGTCAATATACCATTAAACGAAAGATATCTTCATCCTATAATGAAACCTCATAAAGAAAGAATATTTTGTAACAATGATCCCAGCATGAAATTTTTCAAATAACATTTTCAAAACTTTCTTTCAAATTCCATTAGTGAGTGAAGAAGGATTCTTCTCAAGGAATATAAGTTCGCACAAGGACATTTTCAAAAACATATAAATCATTACTTCGTCTGGGCATTCAAATATCAATAAACAAATATTATAGTTCCAACAAGCCTATTTTCAATCAAACAATATTTAAAACAAAAACATTGATAATATGAACAAATATAACATTGAAAAACATATCATTTATAAAAATTATCATGGAGCGCTGTTCACTAACCAGCTATTTATCTTAATCATACTATTTGCTTTCACTTGTACAGTTCTGCAACTCCTCAATCTCGTAGTGTCACATAAACAAAGTATTAATACTCCAACCAAAAGAATCTTTCATAACAATTTATTTAATGAAATTTTAGTAAATTCTTCTTCATCAGTAAGTCTCAATAAATTGAAAAAAAAGTGTATAAATATTTCACTCAATGCCAACATTCAAGGGGTTTTATTTAAATTGATTTGTGGATACTGCACAATAATCCAACTCCTTTTTTTTTTAAACACTATTCCATAAATCAATTTATAAGTGTCCACTAATCTTAGTTTAATTAAATTCTTCTACAAGATTGCACAGCTATTCCAAGCACATCCTAGCTCAACCCACACAGTAAATAGCATGCTATAAAAATCAACAACCATATAGCTCTAAAGCATCCAAATAGCTAGTTACAACACCTTCATTATCATGTTCTATTACTGGCCAAGCAACTACAAACACCCTCAACACAACACAAAGCTGCATAAGTTAATTTCTCAACACTATTTACATATACATTACAAGTGATTAGGTTCCATAGTTCTTATTTTGCAATCATCAAAATATTAATACAAACATATCCAAATAAAATTCATTCCCTCATGTCCAGACCAAACAAAATCTCCCTGGTTCATCATTCACACAATTCGTCAAACACCTTATAGGCATTCAACTTGACTCAACAACCCAACATAATCCACAAGTCGGAAGCCATGAGTCATTTCTAATATATAAACACAAGTATATATGTTTCAGCATTCACATTCAAATAAACATCATATAGTCCATCGAACCCAAAATTTATCAAAATTCAGTGCAACACCATAGCAACGCCAAAAAAATGAACTAACAAAACCAATATAAACCCACACACCCATGTCCATCAGTGCAGAAGATTAAATAGAAAATAGGCAAATTAAGTCCAATCTACTCCCCACTACAACAGCAACAAAAGCGGGGGAGAAGAATAGTGAAACTCCTCTTAAATACACCGTTACTCAAGCAAAATAAATAAATAAATGAGTAGAAGATTTTAGCTTACATGAGTCCCTGCTAGCAGCGGCTATGAAGGAAGAAAAGGGGGGAAAAAAGGAATAGAGCTCAATCTTTTCCAAGCTATCAAGGCACCAATCAGAGCAAAGAAGAAGATAGAATGGCAAAGCTTGAAGGAAGAAGTGCAGAGCACACCCATAGCACACGAGCCGCTGATGAACGCACGGCCAGGAGAGGATAGTGGGAGAAGTTTTTTTTTTTTTTGGCTAGAGGGAGAAGTGATGGAATCACAAGATGGAGTTATCGAATCAAAGAAGAAGGATGGGGTTTTTGAATGGAAAATGAGTTTTTGGAACTCAAGCAAAGCTGACCTTTGGTCAGGACGACGTGATGGGAAAGCAACGGAAAAAGAAAGGAAAGGAAGAACACAATTATAGACTCCTCATTTGTGACTGATAATTTATTCTGGTTTTTGATTGAGAAATAAATATATTTGTAACTAAAGGGAGAATTAATGAGTAGGTTTGTATCTATGCATGCAAACTGAACAAGGTTGGTTTGAACTGAATGACAGGGGCCAATTGACATGGATTTTTTTCATCCAAATTAACGCAGTACTGTTGGCGAATCGATTTTTCCCATAAAAAAAATGAAATTTAGTAATATGTAAATTAGAAGGCTTGTGAACTTCATTAATACAACGGGACTTGACATGAAAATTGAGATTAGATATCAACATAAGTAATTAATAACGTCTTTTTTACTTCTATTAGGAGAGATAATTGAAAAGAAAATGGGATGAGAGAGGATTGAAAATACTACCTCCGGTCCTAATTATAAGACCCAGTTGACTTATTTGAGAAGATTAAGGAAGTAAGTTGAGTTAGTTATTTGTAATAAATAAGTGTTGTCATTCCTAAAATATCCTTACTAATTAAGTGTATTGGCTAGAACTATCATTATAAGAAGGACTATCTTGGAAAAAAATACATAAATATGAGGGAAAAAATAGATTGGGGTCTTATAATTAGGATCAAACAAAAAGTCAATCGGGGTCTTATATTAAGGACCGGAGGTAGTAGAAAATTAAAGATAGAATATTTTCTTGGGAAAATTGAGGAGAAGGACCTAAAAAAATTACTCCCTCTGTTCCTTATTATAAGAGACAAATAATTGAATTACATTGATAAAAAAATAGTTAAAATTAATTAAGAACAATTAATGTGTAAACAGTATAATTTTTTTTTTCAAAAATACCCTCATTAATAAGGAGAGAGAGCATGAGAGAGAACAATTAAATTATTAAAAGAAAGAGAAGTGGGAGGGAGAGAGAGTGTGAGTTGGAGATAATAAATATGGGTAAAATAGGAAATCAACACAAAAAAGTAGAGACAACTTTTAAGTGTCTCTTATATATAAGAACATGCCATAAGTATCAAATGTCTCTTATAATAAGGAACGGAGGGAGTAGTATTTATGGAGAGGGATCTTAAAAATTGTAATTAATTTGAAGGACCAAAAATTAAAATATGAATTTACAATTATGAAATTATCCCTGGCCAAATCCCTACACTATCTTCAAGACCCATATCAATATTTGACTATCAGTTATCAATTGAAATATAAATTTATAATTACTAAATTGCCCCCCATTAAAATTAAAAACTAAATACAGCAATTAACGAAAAATAGAGTCTTATTTTTCAGTCATTCATATCTGCATCTACTAGCCTTTCATTCCAATATGGCTGGAAAAATTTCCAGCTTGCGCAACTGCGATTTTGCCTCTCATTCTGATGTGGTTGGAAAAATTATTAGTGAAGCTTAGGTTACAAAGGGGTACTATTTACTTGATTTTCATATTTTGGTTAACACAAAGAACTATATTTATATTCATCTAAGAAGCTTTGTATAGGTAGTGTGATTGTGTTCATATGTATGTATAGTTGGGATT